TTCAGATTTGAAGAACTATACAGAACTTCATGGGCAGGCAAGGGCTTAGGGTATTCATAGCCTTGAAACCAGTTTTGCAAAAATCATTAAAAGAGCTTCTTTAAAGGACAGGAGTGCAACAACTCATACCTCACACCACCCATACTCCAAGAGTACCGCACCACATTTGATAGGGTTTAAAATAGAAGGCAACCAATCTTAGAGAGAAATTTTTTATATACATATATTTTTGCAGATACATTTATATATTTGCTCGAGCGGGCCCAGTAACGTCTCCATTGGAGACTTTGTTGTTACTGTGTCTGGCATATCAAGTACGTCACGGGGAGCTTGCCAGGCTCTGCCGTGCGGGCGAGATACTCTCGGTAGCTTGCCGGGCTCTCCGAGAGGGGCGGAGGAATCGAACTCGGGTCGGCCATGTTGGCTGCGTGCAAGGCAAACGCCCTACCGCTGTGCTATCGCTCCAGCCCTTACATTTATATATGTGTATATATAGTATATATATATACATATATATGTAAGCACACAAGGCTTAACCTCCCCCCGCTTTTTTTTTGCTTTTTGGGTCACACCCAGCGATGCACAGGGGTTACTCCTGGCTCTGCACTCAGGAATTACTCTTAAAAGTGCTCAGGGGACCATATGGGATGCTGGGAATGGAACCCGGGTAGACCACGTGCAAGGCAAATGCCCTACCCACTGTGCTATCACCCCAGCCCCAAGACTCAACCTTTAACAATTTGTTAGTGATCTCTTACAGAAGGGTCTAATGACCCCTGGGTGAAATAGAACAATCTTGACACTCTTTCCTCTAAGGAAAAAAATGTCGTAGTATTTTCAGTGGTTTTTCATAACAATACAAAATAAATTATTTCGGTTCTGCTTTGGGGCAAGGGTTGGCGTTCAGGATGGAAACATCCTAAATGTGGTGGGAAGGTGGAATGGTGGTGGGATTGGTGTTAGAATATTAAATGTAATCAAATACTGTGAACTACTTTATAAAATTAAAAAGAATTAAAAAGGACAGGAGGGGGCTGGAGCGATAGTACAGTGGGTAGGGCATTTGCCTTGCATGCGGCCAACCTGAGTTCGATTCCCAGTATCCCATATGGTCCCCCGAGCACTTCCAGGAGTAATTCCTAAGTGCATGAGCCAGGGGTAACCCCTGTGCAGTGCCGGGTGTGACCCAAAAAGCAAAAAAATAGGACAGGAGTTCATCCATCATGTAGCATTGAGTATGTCACCCACTAAAGATTCACATGGCTGTCCTTTACTAAATTAATAAAGTTTAGAAACATATCACAATTCAGCTTCACAAATTTTTGTCCATCCAGCTGGCTTATCCATGAACCCGGGTTCGAGTCCCAGCATCCCAAATGGTTCCCTGAGCTACCACCAGGAGTAATTCCTGAGTGCAGAGCCAGGAGTAACCCCTGTGCATCGCCAGGTGTGACCCAAAAAGCCAAAAAAAAAAAAAGTAAAGAATAGTAATTATGGACTGGAGAGCTAGTACGGGGCTTAAGGTTTTGTCTTACATACAGTTGATCCTGGTTTGGGGCCTAATATTGTACATGGTCCCTCAAGCACCACCAAGAATGATTCCTGAGCAAAGGGTCAGGAGTAATTCCTGAGCACTGCTGGATACGACCCCAAAATAAAAAACATTAATTAAACTTGTAAAATAGCCCCAATTGATGGGATATAAATCTATCAGGTAACCAAGAACTAAGAAAGTCTTGTTCTATCAAAACTACTAAATTTATAGAGAAAATGAAATTTTCAAATTAGAATTTAAATTATTCCCACAAACTATTTTTAATTTACAGGCATAGTATTTGAGTATTTTTGAAAACATAAGCACAAATTCATTCTTCAGACAGCAAGACTCCAGAGGCACCATTTTCATTTGGTCTTCAAGAGCGCATCCAATATAACTGAAACCCAAGCACGAAAGTTTATAAGCCTACAACTGTACCTCATGGTGTTTCACTAATAAAAAAAATTAAAAAAAAGAGAACATCCAAATCTCCAGTAACAGGTGAAGTTATCTTATGGTGTTTGGAATTCAGTTTTGTTAAGTTTTTCCTTGATGTTGAATATTTTTCTTTGTGACTGGGCTTTTATTTGAAAACATACATACGATTAAACATTCACATATGAATGTATTTATCAAAATACATCTCTAGTTATTTTAATAGAGGTAAAAATTTTCCTCTTTTGAGTGTAATGATGAACTCATTTCTTGGAGGCCCTTTATTTTAATTATGTTTTAAAATTCCTTATGCTGAGTGAGAGATAGTATGGGGACATGTAGTTGATCTCCGTTTGATTCTCAACACTGCATATAGGTTCCCTGGGATCCCGAGTATTACTCAGGGGAACTGGGGGGCTCACTCTTGGCTATACTTGACCAATATGGTTCAGTGCTAGGACCAGGTGATGCTTCATGACTTGGGACAAGCAGTGCTGGCGCTCCACCAGGGCCAACCTGATGGTGGTACTGAGGACCGTGAGGTCCTAGGGGTCAAACTCAGGACCTTGAACATACAAAGTCTTTTCCTCTGACCCTTGAAGAGAGCAGTAGAAAGAAACTACTCTAGGCTTTGAGGGTTGTGGAGGTGTAAGAAAGCTCTAGATTGGGTGCTGATAAATCTTACCTACAGGAAGTTCTGACAATTAGGATAATAAAGCTAACTTTGGTAAAGAAGAAACAATCAGTTGTTTAAACTTAGTGGACTGCATGCTAATCAAATAAGCATATTATTTGTATATTCTTGAAGTGAACTTGTATGATTTAGATGGGTTTTGTCCATCCAGTTGGCTTATCCATGAGCCTCAGAGCAATTTGTGATTACATTGAAGCCTAGCTGTAGGACAGTTCCAAGATAAAAGGGTACCACTGCTCTATTTAGCCTAGACACCATTAGCTTCTTTCTGTGACCCAGGTGAGGGGAAGAAAAGCTGTATCAGTCACATTGTCAGCTCTACACCGTGGTTGGCCATCAAAACACTTGCCCCAAACTTACATGTGTGACTCAAGGTTTCACTTGGATCCCAGAGGACTCTGCTCCTTGGCCCTATTTTCTGAATCATCCCCATCTATTCTCTTTTCTTTTCCTTCTCGTCCCTTTCCTTGTATTTTGCTCTCTTTTCTATTTTTGTTTTTTTACCATCTTTCCTATTCTCTTCTTTTTCTTTTTGTCTGTATTGTTGCGGGGACCACACCCAGTGATAATGGGGACCTATGTGATGCCAGGTACCATACCAAGGCCTCCCACAGATGAGGAATGTGCTCTATTACTTGAGCCACATCTCCAGCCTGTTTTCCTCTCCTTTGCCTTGAAAGGGATTCACCTGGGTTTGATCTGTGGACTTTTAACTCCTTAGTGGCCCATCTCATACATCAATTACATAAAATGTTTCTTTTGGAGGGCAGACTTCCTTGTGAGCTCAAGGTGTCACCTTGACCTGGGGGGAGATTTGGGCTATTTGATGGGTCAAACTCTCTGTGTGTAGTTTCCTGACACTCGACATCATCCTGCGTGGACCTTTTGCCACCATCACCCCGTGAAAATTAGCTACCACTGCTAATTTTCTAAGCATTTCCAGGTCATGTCTTTATAGGTCCTTAAATACTGGCACTTAAAATGAGAGACCTCAGCATGACTGTTAACTTCCTAAGTAGATTTTTGCTACATTTAAACAAAGCAGATTAAGACCTTAGTCTAGAAGCAACAAGTTTAAACCTGATTTATTATATGATCTGGGTACAGAGTAAAATATGTGCAGAGAGTTTAATTAAGTTAAAAACTCATCACTGACCTTGTGCCCACATGACTAAGTCAATTCTATTTTGGGGGTACAGCCAGCGCCCATGTGGTACTCTACTCCAATATCCATGAGTTACTTCTACATTGTTTTTATCTACTGAAGTTGGGAAATGGTCATAGTGGATAAGGATCATAATTTCTATTTCTCCAATGCCTGTCAGCTCTCAAAGTAAGTCTGTTGCTTTTAAATGTCTTGGTACGTCTTTGGTTGTGTGCAAGCAGTGTGGGGCGTTGGGCCAGGCCCAGTGGTGTTCAGGGCTACTCCTGACTCTGAGCTCATGGATCACTCACTCCTGGTGGGCTTGGGAGACCATATGTGGTTCTGGGGATCGAACCTGGGTCAGAGTCATGCAGAGAAAACACCCTACCCACTGTACTCTCTCCAGCCCCTGCCTTGGTACCTCTTAACTGCACCAAGTTCAGAATGCTGAGTTAGGTGCTGCTCACATGTGGAATTTCAATTTTTTCAATGGTAGCTTACAACAACGGTTGAAAGAGGCTTACCCAAAGTGTAAAGGATACTGACCATGGCATGAGATAACAGCTAAGATAGAGATGCATGTATAATAATGTGGCAAGCTGGTATCAATGTCAACTTTTCTCACGTGGGTAACTAATTGATACAAAGAATTCCTGAAACAGAAAGACTATGGGGAAAGTCCTAGGTCCCTCCAGTTTATCAATGCCCTGAAAATTGACTATCACAAAGTAAGTTAGCATTCATCACTGTCACTGTCACTGTCTTCCCATTTTTCATGGATTAGCTTGAGCGGGCCCAGTAATGTCTCCATTGTGAGACTTGTTGTTACTGTGTTTGGCATATCGAATACGTCACGGGGAGCTTGCCAGGCTTTGCCGTATGGGTGAGATACTTTCGGTAGCTTGCCGGGCTCTTTGAGAGGGGCGGAGGAATCGAACCCGGGTCAGCCCAGTCAACTACATGCAAGGCAAACACCCTACCCACTGTGCTATCTATCATTCCAGCCCAAATTAGCATTCATGGGAACAGAATTAGTAAAAGGGAGGAGAACCCGCAAACTTTGGGAAAGACCTGCAATGCCAGAGGAAGATTTAGCAGTTAGACCAAAAAAAAAAATATATATATATATATCTTATGTTCTTGCTGCCCACCACATATCATTCACATCGACAGAGACGAATCACATGCGTTGCAGGGGTCATCTTTATTGATCATTAATGGTAGACTTCTAAGAATGGCTAAGAGACTTAAAATTTGAAGAGAAATTTTGATTCTTGTTGAGTTGATGAATCTTCGAGACTACTAGGAAATATCCAGAAGATAATGCCTTCCTGTATGACTGTGACAGAAAGCAGGTCACACAATGTGCGAAGAGGCGATGTTACACGGAAGAGAACATTCTGGAGCTCGAATGAGGACATGTTAACTACGCACTAAATCAACAGATGAGAAAGAGAACACAGAAATCTACTGAGCTTGTTTGGAATAAACTCAAAACAAAGAGAATGTCAATCAGCGAGGAAAATGAGGGGTGGAGGGAGTATCAATCTGCATTCTAACTCACTTTATTTTCCAGGGTCACAGACAGTGCTTTGTAAATATTTTTCTTTCTGTGTTGTTGTTGGGGTTTTGGGGGGTCGCACCCAGCAATGCTCAGGGGTTACTTCTGGCTCTGTGCTCAGGAATCACTCCTGGGGACCATATGGGATGCTAGAGATTGAGCCTGGGTTTGCTGTGTGCAAGGCAAATGCTTTAGCCATTGTACTATTACTCCAGTTCTGTGAATACTTTTTTCCTACTGCTGATTCCATCTTAACCTTCTCTTGACTAAATCAAGACAAAGGAGAAAGGAAACAGGAAGGATCCTAGTTTTGTTTCTGCCATCTCTATATTGGATGTTAGAAACTTTCTGATAAGTTAAAAAGTTATGGGCCAAAATCATAGCTACTTTTTAAAAAATACTTACTTTACCCAAATAACATTTGGAAATATTTCCATATATATTATCCATAATAAATCTGAGGTTGGTAAGGGGGGAAAAGTTCAGTCTTTATCCATGTTGGAGGAGAACAGAATGGTCAAACAGTTCTGTTGCCAGATTAGAGTTAATTGTGAGCAGAGTCCAAAGGGAAAAAATTCTTACCAATATGCAAACTGATAAATGCATTAAGGGAGTTGGGCCCAAGCCTGGAAATATACCTGAGTTTCCTATCTTACAACTCCATCATTCTCACATCTCTTTATTATTTTTATATTTCAAATATTAGGCCATAACTGCTGATCCTTTTGCACTAGTATTATCCACACAGTAGTTCTGTAAGGTGGATTTCAGAAGGTCCCCTTTGATCTGCTTAGATCACTTGATTAAAAGCTCATGGTAGGAGTATTTCTTGCACTGATCCCCCAGGTGCAGATTTCAGCTTTCCCTACAAACCTTCCGACCTTGTTTTTATTGTGGCTGTTGGGCACAAACTATAAATGCCTTTGCTAGGCATTGATCCGGGGACCAACTCCACATCACCAGACTTCACCAACCTGGATGGCTGGGCCTAGTCACTTCTGTCCTTGGCACAGCGATCTGTAATGACAGAACAGAGACCATCAAATATCAAATTAAATGTATTCCATTGATAGGCCTGGTGGTCTTAAGGATATGGCAAAGGATCCGGTATTGGAGGGAAGGGGTGATACCACTTTCTCTCACATCACTCTCTTTAATAAGACAGGAACAGAGGAAAAGAAAGCCAGAGATATCTTAACTTACCACCTTCAGTCAGGTCAAGTATGTTTTCCTTAGGAATTCCTCTTTTAAGACACTCTTTCTCGAACTTTTTCTTGAGTCTCTTAGGTGCATTTGGTTTTCGAGCTGTGGGAAGAGGGACAGTGATTGCTGTGTCTGTTTATTCGTCACTGAGGCATATGAGAGGAAAGAGGCTCTGGATGAGAAAATAGATGGTACTGATTGGTTTGTTAGGCAGAAGTGTTGGGACAGGGACTAAACTGTCTAAATTTTGACAGCTTCAGATAACCTGAAAAGGAGACCTTCTAACCTCCTCTCATTAATGAGTCCACGAGCTGCCAAGTGGCATCCTAAGTCTTGAGGAAGAGAGACATGTCATCTAAGCCTGGTACCACCCCTTCCCCTCTGTCTTCAACCCTCACCCCCACCCTTTAAGAAGAAAGTCAGAAAGGAAATACTGTACAGTAGAGCTCCATTGTTTGGTAGTGTTCTCCTTCTTTTTCGTTATGCAGGTGAAAAATGAGATAGTCACAATAATTCGTTTCAACGATGCAAAAAGCATTGTGTCCGTCATCTGTGGGGGAAACAGAACACAGCTCAGAACTTCCCTGATGCGTGTGAAGCAAAGCAAACGCTTCAGCTATTCTGTCCTACAAGAGGAAGCTAGTGCATCTCCTGGAAGCGATCGAGAGTGGGATGTCCACTATACTTTCATCTTTCTGCAACTTCCCAAGGCTAAGAGCTAGAGGTGGACCAAATCGTGCAGGTAGAAAAAAACTGGCCACAGCAGCAACTCAGACTCTCGAGACTCAGCCACCTCTGTTGGTCCTCTCTGCCAACTGCATAGCCCTGTGACCTCCACTGTGCTACTATCCTGAGCAAGGTGCCATGGTAATGGCTGACGTTATCAAAAAGTGGAAGGAGGGGCCGTCATTACAGCACACAGCCGCAGAGAAGAAAGGCTGCCGGGTGGCTCCACAGCTCCCGGAGAATGCACCAGGTCCCAAAAAGAGCCGAGATCACCGGGAAGCCCCAGATGGGGTAGGAGCCGCATCCTGCCTCCTCCAGATGGAACCCCAGTGACCATGAGCCTCTACAAGCATAGCTTGAGTATGCGGGAACCAGGACCTTTACTCCAAACCGCATGTCCGCTTATGCAGCCACGCGACATCTCCCTATATGCAAGGTGATCAATGGAAAGTAAATCATCCAACGTTTCTCCCTGAAAACCAGGCTTAACTCTTATACAGGCCACAACACCCAATGGGAGAGAGAGAACAAAAGGGAATGTCCTGCCACAGAGGCAGGGTGGGATGGGGGAGTAGGTGGGAGGGTGGGAGGGATACTGGGATCCGAGGTGGTGGGAAATGGTCACTGGTGGAGGGATGGATATTCAAAATAAATAAATAAATAAATAAATAAATAAATAAAGGCCCTCCCGTTGTTCATCGATTTGCTCGAGCGGGCCCAGTAACGTCTCCATTGGAGACTTTGTTGTTACTGTGTTTGGCATATCGAGTACGTCACGGGGAGCTTGCCAGGCTCTGCCGTGCGGGCCCGGCAAGCTACCGAGAGTATCTCGCCCGCACGGCAGAGCCTGGCAAGCTCCCCGTGACGTACTCGATATGCCAAACACAGTAACAACAAAGTCTCCAATGGAGACGTTACTGGGCCCGCTCGGGCAAATAAATAAATACAAAATAAAAATTTAAAAAAAAAGGAGGTGGGCGCAGAGATAACAAGTACCCAAAGACGGAAAGCTTGCCACTGGGGGAAGGGATGGGAGGGTGCCTCTGAGAGAAAGGTGGAGGGAAGCAGTGAAAGGTGTGGTGATGAAACGCTTTATGTATGAAGTCCTACCATTAACAGTTTTGTAAATCATAGTGCCTAAAATTAAATCTAAATAAATAAAACGGAGAACTAAAAAAAAAGTGGAAGGAGGGCTGGAGCACAGCGGGTAGGGCGTTTGCCTTGCATGCGGCAGACCCGGGTTTGATTACCAGCATCCTATATATGGTCCCTTGAACACCACAAGGAGTAATTCCTGAGTGCATGAGCCAGGAGTAACCCCTGTGTATCGCTGGGTGTGACCCAAAAAGAAAAAAAAAGTGGAACTAGAAAGAGCAAAAGTCCTACAATTCACTTTTTTGCTTCTTCTTCAGCCTTTTTTTGTTTGTTTGTTTACATAGTCCTAGATTCTGGTAACCCAAGATACCTTCCTTTTCTGTGGTATTATGTGTCAAGCACTGACTTTCTAGAAGGTTCTCCCAAATTCAGGTATTGGCTTTTACATGTTACCATTACATTACCTAAATAAATATTTCTTGGAAATTTATCAAAAATTCCCAAGACATTTAAAATTAACAAATTCTCTACATTCAGAAGTAGAACTTGAAAAAAAAATTAAAGGTACTTACACTCAACTTCAAAGCAGCCACTCTTATCTGTGCTGTCACAAGTCATTGAGAATTCAGAGCAAATATCATTTTCCCTGTTTTTGAAAAAAGAATAAATTGATGTACAAGAAATATTGACATAGGTACACAGAGATGGGCTGGAACAATAGAACAGCCTAGCAAGCTACCCATTGCATATTCAAAATGCCAAAAACAGTAACAACAAGTCTCACAATGAAGATGTTACTGGTTTCCACTTGAGGAACTAGATGAACAATGGGATGACAGTGCTACAGTGCTACACAGAGATAGTACAGTGTGTAGAGTGCTTGATTCACAAACTGCCAACCTGGATTCAATCCCCAGCATCCAATATGATCACTTGAGCACTGCCAGGAGTAATTCCCAACTGCAGAGCCAGGAGTAATCTCTGAGCACTTCTGGGTATGGCCCCAACATATATAATATATTATTATATAAATGCAAATGGAACTTGCTCCTTCAAATTGCACCAATAAGTTGAGTTTCTGCTTCCTTTTAACTTTTGAATATTTGAGTATATTCTCAAAAATGTCTTTTTTATATTTTTATTTATATGATTGTTAGGGCTGGAGCGATAGCACAGCGGTAGGGCATTTGCCTTGCATGCAGCCAACATGGATGACCCGAGTTCGATTCCTCCGCCCCTCTCGGAGAGCCCGGCAAGCTACCGAGAGTATCTCGCCCACATGGCAGAGCCGGGCAAGCTACCCATGATGTATTTGATATGCCAAACACAGTAACAATAAGTCTCATGATGGAGACGTTACTGGGCCCGCTAGAGCAAATCGATGAACAACGGGAGATCCGTGATGTGACCCGTGATGATTTGATACATATAGGATGAGTCACCACTTTATCACTAGGACTCTGTTGCTACCCCCCTACCTTTACCAATACTGAAACTTCTCCTCTAAAGGGTTAGCTAAGTGCTTTCCTGGTGCCATTCTCTTTGGCTGATGCTTTACAAATGTTACCTCATTTAGTCCTCCCAACAAAACATGAAGAAAACTATTAGCATTCTCTTTTATCCGATGAAAAAGCAGGTGGGATGGAGGAATTTCCTTGGGCAAACAGCTAATATAAATAATAGACTGTTAATTTCATATCTTATTTTCATAAACCGTGCTACATTGCCACATGGACTTGTGATCCTGATATTTCTCTACCCCTTAATTTTGTCCACCTTAAATTTGTTACTGTCATAATTCTTCTTCTGACTCTAGAAAAGCCCCTTCTTCATCAAGTTCTGGACCATGCCATATAGGAACTCTAATTTGTGATACAAGTGCAGAATGTGTGTGTGTTTGTGTGAGGGAGAGAGAGAAAGAGAGAGAGTGTGTGTGTGTGAGAGAGAGAGAGAGAGAGAGAGAGAGAGAGTAGAGATTCAAGACCACACCTGGTCTTCTAGTGCCTTTTTCCCAACTACAAAAGGCCACACTTACTTAAAATGATATTTCAAATACAGAGAACCATTCTGCAACACATCCATATCTTCCACAAAAATCCGCATGCTGCCGCCCTGGACTATTTTTTCCTTGTCATCTGAGGACAGGAAAACAGAATGCCACTTTCCTGAAATCTGCAACAAGTCAGTAACATGACGGGTAAGAAAAGAGAGCAGACAAAGCAACAACCCCTGTCCCGCTAGAACTCTGTTCTGTGAGCCGTCTTCAAATGGTGCTGTGAGGTTGCCCCCAGGCCTCTCTCCACTGACCCCGGGACTACAGGGTGGTCTTACCACTGCACAATTGCTGCTGGTGTGCAATCCACGGCTACACCTTTAGGCCGACTTGTCAGGGAACTCCTGCCCCCCATATAGCACCCACCATGCATCAGAGCTACCCCTGCAAAGTCATCAGTCTTCACATTTCACTTAGTTTACCTGTGGCATATTAAAGTTGTCTTTGTCAATGTTGCACACAACTTTCTTGTGGGCCCCGACAAGCGTCAGCCCCACACACAGCAGAAACAGCATCATCTTGGCAGGCGACTGTGCTATCTCCTCTAGAGACACCAGCAGATGGTCTTTCTCCTACTGTGACTTCCCTGGAAGCTTCTCTGTCTTTATATCTGTGCTAAGCCCAGTTTCTTGCCCAGGGGCCACCACCTTTTCCCCTCCCACTGTGAGAAATGGTCTGACACCAGCTGGTGTGAGGCCAAGGATTAAGTTTGCCCTTTTGAGTCTTGGCAATCGCCTCTCTTTCAGATCTACTCAGTGACCTTCAATTTCTCCAAACACAGAAAGGAAAATAGAAGATGTTATGAAGGGCTGCCTTTTGGAATCAGATTTCCCTGGGGATCTGGCTCGGGATCCGAAAACAATGACACGTGGCAGGAATGAGCAGAGCTGGGAGGCAGAATTGTGGGGCAGCGTCTGACCTGCCATCTATCTACTTTTGTGGAATGAGGTGGTGCCTCCACATTTATAAGGCTTCAGAAGCAGGGAAGTGATTCCCACCAGAGTTGATGGTGTTTCTCCCAACATCGAAGTAAGGTTGATAAGAGTTCAATTAAAAAATGTTTACATGGCGGGGGGAAGGGCTGGAGCCATGGTACAACAGGTAGGGCATTTGCCTTGCATGCGGATGACCTGAGTTTGATTCCCAGCATCCCATATGGTCCCCAGAGCACCACCAGGAGTAATTTCTTAGTGCAGAGCCGGGGTGGAGGGGTGACCCCTGTGCATTGCCGAGTGTCCCAAAAAGAGTTCATTTGAAAAAATGCTTACATGGTGGGGGGCGGGGCGCTGGATTGATAGTACAAGGGTAGGGCATTTGCCTTGCATGCAGCTGACCTGGGTTCCATTCCCAGCATCCCATATGGTCCCCCAAGCACCTCCAAGAGTAATTCCTGAGTGCAGAGTCAGGAGTAACCTCTGTGCATTGCTGGGTATGACCCAAAAAGAAAAAAAATTTACACGGGGACTGGAATGGTATAGAACAGAAGGCAGGGTGTTTGCTTTCCACACAGCTGGCCTCGGTTTGACTCCCAGAACCCCAAAGGGTACCCCATGTCCCACCAGGAGTAATTCCTAGGTGCTGAGTAGTACTGAGTACTTCTGAGTGTAGCCAAAAAACAAAACAAAAAGAATGTTCGTAAGGCCAGAGCTATAGTACGGGGGTAGGGCATTTGCCTTGCCTGTGGCTGACCCAGGTTCAATCCCCGGCACCACATGTGGTCCCCTAAGCCTTCTAGGCGTGATTCCTGAGTGCAGAACCAGAAGTCAACCCTGAGCACGGCAAGGTAAGACCTTAAAACAAAACTAAATGAAGTGTTTGCAGGAGCTATAAAGTTAATAGAGGAATAAGGCATGTGCCTTGTAGTAGGTTTGTCTGAGTTTGATCCTTGAGACTGTATGTGGTCCCATGAGCATGCCTGGAATGATCATTGAGTGCAGAGATAAGAGTAATTCCTAAATTCTTTGGGTGTGGCACAAAAACCAAAAAGTGTACAGTCAGAGATGCCTCCAGACTCCACACCAGGTTGAATCTTATCTGGGGCACCATGGAAGGGGGTGGGTGAGCTCACCGCCTGCCCCAACAGAGCCCTGGGAGACAAACACCTCCAGAATCCAATTGCCACCATGCTCACATCCAATCTCTGCAGGCTTAGGATGAACCTCATTCATGAGCAAATCTGTTGAAAAACTCAGCTTTGAGGGTTTTATGACAATCTTCAGGCTTTCATGGACTCAGGAATAGGCGACCACAAGGCTCAACCTGCAACAACATGTTAGTAATCTCTCATACAAAGACTTAATGGTTCCAGGGTGAGATACAACAATCTTTACACACTTTCTCCTAAGTAAACATTTTAAAAATCATCTTTAGCATATTATTTCTCATAAACATTGTCTTCGTAAGATTCAGCTGTAGTCCTACCTTTCCACACTCACGGTCAAAGTCGGCCAGCATTTGTGCCGCTTGGCTGATGTTTGGTGTTATTAGAACAATGTCATCAGCAAAGCGGAGGTGGTGTAGTTGCCGACCATCTATCTTCACTCCCATTCCTTCCCATTCCAGTCGTCGCATGATGTTCTCGAGGGTGGCACTGAAGAGTTTTGGTGAAATGGTATCACCCTGCCGAACCCCTCTCTTGACATCAACGATCACTTCTTTGTAGAATGGTGAGATCCTGGTAGTGAATCCGCAATACAGCTCACGGAGGATTCTGATGTATTGGGCTTGAATGCCCTGATTGGCTAGGGCTTCAATGACTGCTTCCATCTCAACAGAATCAAAGGCCTTCTTTAAATCAATGAACGTTAAGCAGAGCGGCATCTTGAACTCCCGAGAAACCTCAATGAGCTTGGTTACCATGTGGATATGGTCGATGGTGCTGAATCCTTTGCGGAACCCTGCTTGCTTGCATGGTTGTCCTTCATCTAGTGTTCTGCCAATCCTATTCAGGATGACTCGAGTGAACAACTTGTAGATGACAGACAATAGGCAGATCGGGCGATAGTTGCCAATGTCATGGATGTCTCCCTTCTTGAATAGTAGTACGGTCCTGCTGGTTTTCCATTGGGACGGAACCTTGCATTCAGACAGGTAGCGAGTGAAGAGCCGAGCCAGTGTATTGATGAGTACTGACGGCAGGTTCTTCAGGTGTTCAGGTCTGACCTTGTCTGGGCCGGGTGCTGTTTGTTTCTTTACCGACGAAATGGCGTGTCGGATTTCGGAAGGGAGAACATTGGGAACGACATGCCCATCCTGTGGAATTTGGTATGTCGGCAAGTGGACATGGCTATCGAAGAGATTTGAGTAGAAGTCATGGATAATCTTCTCCATTGCCGTTCTGGAGGATGTGATGGATCCATCAGGACGTCGGAGGGCAGTCATCTTGGTCTTATAGTTGGCGAAGGACAGGCGGGTGTTACGAATACTTTTCCCGGCTTCTGCCGCATCTACCAGTACTTCTGCTCTTCTCTCTTTGAGGTCTTCCTTGATCGCATCTCTGCACTGCTTTGCAAGCTCGGACGTTAGCTTGCGGTTGCCTGAGGCATGCGCCAAACCACGCTGGCGAATTAGCTCAAGAGTTTTCGAAGATAGGCGACTTTTTGTGGCTATCTCTCTCTTGGCGTTCCTCGCACATTCATGGAGGTGCTGAACCAGTCAATCGTATTCCTCGTCAATGTTGTCAACAATGGCATCTTCCCATGTTGCCGCAATAGTACCAAAGAGTTCCCAGTTGGTGGTCATTCTGGGAGTTCTCTTTTTGAACTTTGCAGCCCTTTCTCCCCACTCTGTGAAGTAGAATTTTGCACGAAGGAGACGGTGGTCCGATCCCGTTTGAAATTTTGGGACAACAGCAACATCAGTCAGGCAAAACCGTCGATTGAATATGATGTGGTCTATTTCGTTGTGGAATCGTCCACCGGGAGACTCCCATGTCCATCGTTTAGATTCTGCCTTCTGGAACTGTGAGTTACCATGAATGGTCTTGGTCGACATGATGAACTCAGACAGTCTCTCACCCTGTTCGTTCCATTCTAGGCCATGGGTCCCGATGTGAAGTTCTTCAGCTGATCTTCTCGGTCCTATCTTGGCATTAAAATCACCCACAATGATCTTGTAGAAGGTGTGGTCTTCTTTATAGAACTTCTCTAGCTCTATGTAGAACTTCTCGATTTCTCTTTCATCATAATGAGATGTTGGTGCGTAGACAACGAAGATAGAACCTGCAGGCAGTGAGCCACATCTATTCAAATGTAAACGTCCGATTCGGGTTGTTAGGCATTCGAATGAATCAATGCTCTTGGCCAAGTTTGTGTTGACAAGGACACCAACGCCTCCAACACCTCTTTTATCGCATGTTCCGAGGAACAATTCTTCTCCAGTGTCGAAAATGGCATGGTGAGATTCGTGCCTTCTTGTCTCGGTCAGACCAATGATGTCGTACTTGATCATTTGCGCTTGTACCATCAGGTCCTCGATGGATGCATCTGATGCTAGCGTACGTGCATTGAAAGTACAGACGATCATTTTTGTCTTCCTTCGTTGTGGCAGCCTAGGTCGGCCTTGAGATTTTGTCGGCCTCTCCTTTCTCATCCTTCTCTGTGCTGCCATGTCGGTGAAGCCTTCAGGGTCAGGTGAATGAGACCAGTTGTAGTTACTGGTTTTGGCATATTGAATACACAGCGGATAGCTTGCCAGGCTCTTCCGTGCGGGCGGAATACTCTCGGTAGCTTGCCAGTCTTTCCGAGAGGGATAGAGGCTTTTGGGGTGACCTCTAATCACCCTTGTAGGTGTTACCATATTTGAACCCTATCAAATATGGTACGACAATTCCAGAAGATGGGTATTTAGTGTCTTATGATGTGTCGCGCGGCCGCTTGCGGCCGCGCGGGTCCAAAAAGCATCCTGGAGTGTGGCGACGGCTGGGTAGTGGAAGTAGTGTCCTGACGCCCCATTCGCTCTCAATGGAACGACCATCTCCGAATGCAACAGCTATGTGTACCTAGGTCGAGAGGTCAACATGACAAATGACCTGGCACCTGAGCTGCGCAGGAGGAAGAGAGCGGCTTGGAACGCCTTCAAGAACGTCGAAGAAATAGCTAAGAGGACGAAGAACCTCCGGCTCCGGGCACATCTCTTTGATTCCACTGTTCTTCCTGCATTAACATATGCCTCAGAGACCTGGGCCCTACGCAAACAAGATGAGAACGCCATTCAGGTCTCCCAAAGAAGAATAGAAAGAGCTATGCTTGGAATATCACGTTTCACTCAAATGAGAGAACGAATCCGGAGTTCTGACATCCGTCGACGATCAAGGATCAGGGATGCTGTCTCATCTGCCAAGGTGTCGAAAATCAGATGGGCTGGTCACGTAATGAGATTTAAAGATGACCGTTGGACTAGAGCTGTTACTGATTGGATTCCACGGGATGTCAAGAGACTGCGTGGCCGCCCACCTACCAGATGGTCAGACTTCTTCGTCAAGATCATGAACGATCGGTTTGAGGCCCTTCATGTTCCCGGAGCGAACAGATGCCATTGGGCTACACTAGCACGTGACAGGGACAAATGGAGACGTTACTGGCGC